CATGATAGCTATCCATTCAATTTACAATTCAATTACGAGATTTTGAAATTGTTTGATTGAATTACAAATATTCATAATTTTATAATTTTAATTTGAAATCAATTGCACCCAAAAACATAAAATCCCTAAAACTTATAATTAAGGTTCCTAAATAAAATTTGGAGATAAATTAGGGTTCATACTAATTTTATAGAAAATTCTCTAAATTTATAATTATAGTATATCTTAATTTGAGAAAAATATAATTTGAGAAAAACTATTACAAGAGGAGAATCATAAATCTATAATGACTCGATACTACATGTAAATTATTTTGTAGTTTTCCTACTTTCTTAATTTATTCAAAAAAACTATTTTACACTGATATTTAGATTCATGATTCTCACACAATAACATAAATAATAATAATAAAGAGATTAACCTTAATCCATGAGAGATATCCAATGAAAATGCGTTATTCAATGTCTTTGTTCTCCAACTTCTTTTTTTCAATCTATCTTTTTATCTTTCTTTTTCTTGTGTCACATTTTTGATGGCTTATTATGAAAAAAATCTTATGATCAGATATAGAACCTTAATTCCCTTTATTAATCAATGTCCATCAATTTCTTTATGATGACTTTCAATAATACTCCAAAGATCCTTATATTTTATTAAATAATATTTGAATTCATAAGAGTTACATAATATAATTAATTAATTCTAACGGTAAAGTTTAAATAAGACAAGGATGATCAAACATTAATAAAAGCTAGTTGTGCTACTTTCTGAAAGCAATTATTTGATAAATAATGACCTCTCTATCATAAAATTAACAATGTGGTTATGATATATAAGAATTATTTTCAGATTTTTTTCATGAAAGATGAATGATTTCGTAGATAATTATATATATATATATATATATATATATATATATATATATATATATATAATCTTAGAAGATAGTTTAATTAGAGATTATTCAAAAGTAAGTTTTATTCTAGTCAACTTTAATATTCTTTTCAGATTTTGATTATTTTGAGAAGTTGAAACAAATTATATTATTGCATGAATCACTTCTAAAAGTGATTATTTATTTTTAATAAAGTTTTTCTTTTTCATGAAAAAGTTGTGAGACATGGGTGCAACTTGCTTAGTAATTATATAATTTTTTCTGTCAGTATGTTTTAGTGTTTAGCTAAATCCATAGTTATTGTAGGCTTTTGTTTTTCTTTAAAGAAAATATTGTATCAAATACAATTGTACATGTAAAAGCTCTTACTCGCGTTTAGGGTGTAGGTTGCTTTTGTTACCCTATGCTTTCCATAAGGGGAACTTTATTATACCTTCATGTCATTTTTAAATTATTTTTTTCAAGTTTTACTCCAATATTAAGTCTTAAATTTGTAATTTATATTTTTTATATTTCAAAATTTGACAATATAAAAAATTAATTTAATATAATCAAATATTTTGTATTCTTTGGATTAAGAGTTTTACAAAAGATCTAAGTTTTAAATTTAAAGTCTTATATCCAAGTATAAGTTTAAGTCTCAGTAGTTTAATGTCTTAAGTTTTTGGGTTAAATGAGCGTTGTGCTCATGTTTTATTGATGTTGTTTCTTTTCGGTGAATCTCTTTGAAAAATCTAATAATGGTATCAAAAAATCCAATACCGGTCAAACAAACATATTTTGTTATGATAAACGATGACACAAGAAAAAATTATTTATAAGCTCGATAAGATGTATCAATGTGAAGAAACTCACACTTGAGGAAGAAATTGTTGAAAAATTCAATATGAGGGTAAGTTACATTTTTAAGAACAAAGAAGTTGAGTAACATATAAGAAACAAAAATTCATACTCCAAAGATTTTAGGTTAAAGATGATGTCAATCATTTATACAGGTTGAGTTCATATCTCATTAGTATTATTTATCTCCAATAAATCTTCTCTCAAAAAAACCCAACACTCACGTCATCACACCAACATGTATTATAAAGAGTTTCTTACAATACTCAAGTCTTAAATTAAGACTTTAACTAAGACCCTATATTGGAGAAAATGTTATAAGCTTTGTTTGGATGAATAGTCTCTATTGAGGATGAATTAGAGTTAACATAAGTGGAACGTTTAGGTTTACATATTAGGTGATTTGAGTTTATCTGCGGTGATTAAGTTGAGGGATTTTTTTTTTTTGGGTGAAGTGAGAAATGGTAGAAAAGCCAGATTTACACAGTAAAAATGTCCAATGGGCGACTAAGTTGTTCACAGAGGCACACACAGAATATTTAAAGCTCTAGGATATTAACTTGACTTTATTTCTCAACCAAGTTCACTCTAAATCTTTCAACAATCTTTTAGCTCGTCCTTAGTCTTGAATAATATATAACATATTGTATAATATTGTGTTGATATTTATTTTTCTTTTATTTTTTTATAGAATATAATTTTGTATATATGGTATAATATTTGGTTAGAATTATTATAGTTATAAAATATTTTAATTTTGTAGAAAAATAATTAGGTATACATATATTTTATAAATATGTTGCATATATTTTATTTTATATTAAAAATATGTAAGTTTTAATTTATATATTTTAAGTCGATATATTAGAACGAAGACTATCCTTAAAATATTGAATCCTTTGAAATTTATATATAAGAGAAATAAAAATTGATAGATATAGAACAAAATTAGTTTATTATGTTATTCTAACTCAAAGATTTTTCAATAATCTTTTAAAAGCAAGTTACAATGATAAATGATAGAAAATGGACACAAATGTCTGAAGTGATAAATGAGTATTTACCATCAAACAAAATGAAAAAGTACTTGTATTAAAACAACTATAAATAATAATGATAAAATTGTTAACATTTTTAATGATATAGATTATTGATATTAAAGTGACAAATCTTATTACTTTTGACCCTAAGAAGGTTACCTATATTAAATCATATGTATAAAAACATATTTCTATTGCAAATGGAAACTAAATCCAAATTAGTAGATAAAGATAGTTAAATCTTATTAATACTTTAAATCTTAATTTTGTTTTGGTTATTTTTTTCTAAATTGTAATATTTTATCTATTTTCAAATAACAATTCATTTATCTTGTGTGTGGTAATCTTTTAGCTTAACTCTTGTTATTAAAAATATTAAAATAAAACAATCAATTAATTAGGATAGTATAAGAGGAAATTTGTATTATGTACATCTATTAAAAAAAAATCAGATGATATTTTAAAATATTATTTTTTACTTCATTTAAAAAATGTGATGTTTTAAGTTTTAAGTGTGATAATTGTAAACTAGAAAAGAGTAGGGTGTGAAAATAGGTTTATTCAGATAGATCAGTTCGAAAGTTAGGCTAAAATAATTTTGACCTAAATTAAATGAGACTTATTTTGACATGACTTATTTAGGTCATGACCTATATAAGCTTAGGTCAGACTAGCTCATATGCTTATGCGTTGACCTATTTTATAAATTAATAATGATTTATTTAGGTCATGACCTATATAAACTTAGGTCAGATTAACTCGTATGTTTATGCGTACTGAACTATTTTATAAATTAATAATTATTTTTTAACAAAAATAAAACTAATATTATTTTATTAAAAAATATATATGTAGTATAAATTAATTTGACAATAGATTTATTTGAAGAGTAAATATCATGATAAAGTTCTAATAATCACTTATTATAGATTTAATTATTAAGATTAATTACTAGTTTAAATTAATTAATTATTAAAAAATAAATAATGATAATGAAAAGTAAGTTTTTAATTCTTATTTTAAGATTGAATTGATGCATTATAGTTTATATATTAAATCATTATATCTTAAATAGAAATTCATTTTATTAATGAAATTTAAATTTTTAAAATATATTTTTATTTAAATATTTTTTAATTAATTAGATTTTGAATAGATATCTTAATATTTAAAAAGAAATCAATTAAGACCAATTTTAGCACGTTGACTTAACATAAGATAAGTTAGGAAATTTTAGATTGAACCATCAAATTTTTTTCATTTAATCCATAAGATGAAATCAGGTTGGATCAGATTACCTGTTTTGACAGTTTTAGTAAGAGTCATAAAACTCAATTTTATTATTTTAAATAAAAGCACTCAACATTTTTATAATGATATATTCTAACGTGTGGTCTATCTAAAATCTAAATTTTAGATAAATTTTTTGATTGGTTATTTTTATTGAAAGATTGAAAAAATGACATTGGTTGTATTGAAAGAAAAAAAAGATAAATTTATTATTTTAAAATTTTCATAAAATAGTAAGAATATATATATATATATATATATATATATATATATATATATATATATATATATATATATATATATATATATACCTTTTAACATTTTAGACACAGGTCAACAATTGAATTTGTTGAGTTCTTATTTTGCAGAGGAAAATTATAGAAGAGGTTCTCAAAGAAAATAATATTGATGCATTATTTTGTAAGGAACTGAACTGACAAAAAAAAATAAGGACACATGCGATGTTATAATTAAGACAACTAAAGTGACTACGACTAGCCAGCAACATGGACCATTTCTGAAACTCTCTTCTCATAATAATTCATAACTTCTTATACAAAAAGTGAACAAATTATATCAGGGGAAGAATCAGAAGGCATATATAAGGTTTTAGGTTACCTAAGGATAAAATAGTAATTTGACAAAAATAGTTAATATTTATTTTTTTAAAGTTTAAGAGTTTATTAAATTAAGAAGTCCAAATTGAACAATGAAATTGGCAAACCTTTTGGAATTTTTCATCTAATTGCCAATGGGTTTGATTAGGTTATAATATTCAGGAAAGTAGAGATTGATGAATAATTAAATTAGGATAATTCATTGGATCTAATTAATTTTGGAAAACTAATAACTAGGAAATGAGCCCATTTCCAATTGCTGTGAAAATTTTGTGGAATCCATTGAAGATAGAATATGCTTGCAAAACAAATTCTCACTTTCCTCACTCTATTTTTAGGATATTCTTTGCCTTCTCCTTCAAGATGTGAACTTTGAAGCTTCAATGAATTTACCATGCTCAATTTTTCTATCAATTTTTCCTAAAGATTAATGTTACATGTATATGCACGACGATGTATGAATTATACTTCTTAACATGTGTTCTTATAAATTTCACTTTTATTGTTTGATTTGATTTTAATGTTCTTATAAATTGCTTTGCCAATAATATATATAGTAATTGTTGGATAAAATTGAGACCTCAAACCTTAAAAATGATTTAGTTAATTTATTGCTTGATTGAATAGTTTGAAAAATAAAAAATAAATCTTAAATCTTAAATCCTAAATACTTTTTTAAAATTTTAAATGAATGCCGGTGAAATGAAGTTTAAGAAGACATTCTAATAATAAGAGGTGATGAAAATTGAAGTGCACTAAATCACATTCATGAATAAAGTTGTCCATTTTAAAAAATTATTTATAAAAAATATTTATGAGTAAAAATATTATTTTATTATATATATATATATATATATATATATATATATATATATATATATATATATATATATATATATATGTGTGTATATAGATGTCATTGGGTTCAACGTCTTGTGTACCGTGCAATCCATGTACAATGTTGGTATGGTATCTTCATATTTTAAATTCAGAAAGAAATGTGATTTTTTTTAAATATTTTAATTTAATTTAATTTAAGATTATACTGATCTTAATTATTTTAAGTTCATTTGAATTGATTCGTTTTAAGTTTAAATTTGTAATTTTAACTATAATTTAATTAATTAAATGTAAATTTGATATTTTTTAATTTTAAAAAAACCAAACTTAGTATTCATCCTAAAATATTGTTTGGTTTAATTTTTTTATTACATTAAGTAAAGTACATCATATAATTTTACTATTACATTAAGTAAAGTACATCATATATTTATTTTATTTTTAAAGGCTAATATCAAGTAAAATAACAAAAATTTAATAAACAATGAATCATTATATTAAAAATAGTCAGATACATAAAATATATATATATATATATATATATATATTTTTTATAGTTATGAGATCAAAAGTGAGAAAAAAGTTATTCATTAAGAAAAGTAATATATGAAAGAAACCCTTTAATTAGAATTGTCGAATACTTACATTATACGAGTGTCCCTGTACCAAATTAATAATTTAATAAAAATATAACAACTAAATTAATTTGAATAATACTTAATAATAATAATCTCATATTTAATATTCATTTGTCCAAATTAAATGGATGAAATGGGTAAGAGACTAATATAATTTAAATTACATTAGAGAAATAAAATCAATTTAATATAATGAATCTAAATTTTAAATATAATCTATTTTATTAAATTTGGATGGAATAAATTACATTGTGAAGTTGACTTGAACTATAAGAAGTATATGTAAATGATGGTAACATTGAAAATTCAGTTATGTTTGAGTGTATTAGATATGTGTTCTGCATCGGGATATGTTGAGTGAATGTTTGGGAGTTTGAGATTGAAGCAATGGAAGTGGTTTTGATTATGATGAGTTGTGAGTGTGTGTCAGGATCAATGCCCACGTCTCTTGTACGATGGCTTTTCTGTTTCTTTAGCTTTCCATCACTTTCCATATCCGGTAATGTTTCAATCGTACATCACCAAAATATATTATTCTTTTCTTCTTCATTCACCAAATATTATATCATTCTAACCAAAACTTGTTAGGGTATAATCAATATCACTTCATATAATCTTGCATGTCTTGATAGATGCATGTATGGCCTACTCAGTGTGAACAGAATAAAGAAATCACCGCCACTTTTGCAATGGAATTCCACCATCTTCCTGTTAATATCTCTCTCCACTCACCACTTGTCACCGTTTACGTACTTTCTTTCACTCAAGGAAATTATTTAAATGTAGCTTAAAGAACCATAAAATTGTGATGAGAGTAGAGAGAGAGAGAGAGAGAGCACTGGGTTGTGGGAATGGTGGGAAGAGCAAAGGTGTAAGTGACACGACAGTCCGAAGAGGTTTGGATGAGAGACATCCATTTATTGTTTTGTGCAGAGAAAGATAAAGTGAACTCATCCATCCATCAGACAAGACCTAATTTCTGAGAACCACACATCACATGGATCCAATTAACCCCACCTACCTCCTTGATTTGACCTCTCAGATTCTCTTCATTTGACCTCTTCCCACCAGACAAACAACCCTTCTTATCACTAATCTTCTACTTTTCTCGTCCTTATTCATTTTAATCACCACTTCAAATAATAATAACTACATTTTCATTTTCCTTTTGTGATATTAATTAAGAAAGAAGATGCTGAGGGAAACCAGTGGAGTTATCACTGAATAACCTACATCTTTTTTATCTAAACCTTTCAGACAAATTACAAGTAAACCAAACCTTGAAAAGAAACTATATTATAATACTATCTGATCATAACCTAAAACCCCACATGTCTAATACAAATGGGAGGAGAAAATATATCTTATTGAGGACTTTAATTAGTATGAAGAACACATATTATATATATGTGTGTGTGTGGCAAAGGTGTCTCGCACACTCTCTCACGTGTGTGTTCCTTGAATGAAGGATGGAACATGAGGATGGAAAGACAGGGATGACCCGTGTTAGATTGAGGAGATGGTGAAATAGTAGGATTTGAAATGAGCATGCATGTCATAACCATATATAGCCACCCCGTCTACTGTTTCAAAGATTATATGTCACGTCACCATGAGTGAAGCAATAGTAGAATTTCATAATTTCAAACACTCTCCCAAGTAGAAAAAAGAAAAGAAACTCCTATATCTGCAGCTACCATCCAATATTCTGCTTCCAACAGTCCTCAATTTATCAGTCACGCGCATCTTCACATTTTATATATCATCATGGATCAATTATATTACACCCTTTGTTTACCACTTTCTTATAACTTCAATATATTCTCTTTAAACCTACAACTTACATTTTTTTTTTCTTTTTTTTTTTTACTAAATGAATCTCACAAATAATTTCATATCTTTGTATTGTTGTCAACATATTCACTTTAGGCATAGGTTCTTAATGAGAGAAATTAATATAACCTTTACTAAGGTTAATATAACCTAAAGTAATTGAATTTTTTTTAATGAGAGTTTAATATGATTTTTAAGGTTATCATGGTAAAACTCTCAATCAACTTACATTACATTAATATTGTTTGTAATTGAATGATAAACTCTTTACTTTTATAATGATTACAATTTAAAAGTTATATTTTAAGTAAATTATATTATTTGACCATGTTTTGAATAACCGGGCATGAAAGTTAAACTGTTCAAAGAAAATGACAAAATATTTTGTAAACAATTATATAATTGTAATTTTCATGAATTTAAACAAAACTTTCTAGATCAAGGAGTTTTTTAATTACACATTTATAATCAAAAAATTGTTTGCTGCTTGAAATAGGAGGACAATATATACTTACAACATAAACGCCTATTTTCATTTTTAATATTTAGTATTTATAAGTAATCTTTGCTGGTTACATATATAAATGAATTTTAACATAAAAGTATAATTATAATTAATATGAAATACTATAAATAATTCTTAAAATGAAAGTTTCTTTGCATGCTCTTTTCATTAACTGTGTGCATGCATTAGCAGAAGAAGTGTATTTGAGAAAAAAAATGTAGTTATAGTTAAATAAGAATGTCACAAAATATATATACGAATGTAAAAAAAGTAATTATTTAAATCTCAACTATTAAATTTTACTTGCATCCTTAACTATTAATGCCTACAACTACAGTCTAAATGGTAAACAAACATAATTATTAACATTTTGTAATAATTATTTTGAAAATTATATGTAAAATGATTTTTAACTAATGATAGTTTTACATTAATGATAGATTTTTAACTGGAGTTACTATTACATTAATAATAGAGTGTTAAAATTTTATCTTCCCCTCTCCCTCTTCCTAGAAGATGAAAATGAAAGTAAAACTGTATGAAAACAGATGTATCAATGAACCCCAACTAACTGGGTTCATTCATTTATTTACAGATTGAACTGTTTATAAAATATGAAAATTTGCAACATTTTAATACATGTATATTGAATTTATTATCTGACTGGTAAATCTTACTTATTGAAACAAGTTTGATATATTATTAAACAGTTTCATCATCTTGTTACACTTAAGATTTCGGGATTTCTATTTGAAGAAGATTTATCTAATATTCTAGTTTAGAGTTGTATGACCATGTTGATATATAGAGAAAATGTTGCACTGATGTTAACGATTACATATTACAATCTTTTAAATAATAAAAATATGACTCTGAAGGATTGAAATGCAACCATATCTAGAATATAATGATGCTTCATGATTAATTATGCCAGTTTTTCTTTTGCCACCTTTTTTCCTAGCTTGGTTCATGGCTGCTATTGCTTTCATTATTGTTTTATTAGTTTATTTAACTTGGAGAGTGCTTTGAATTTATGAAGAGATTGAAAGGAAATCAGGGTTCTCTTTCCTCACTCCTTTCTATACAATTCCTTTTTACTTAGAAGCTTAAAAACAAACTGAGTTCTGCGAGTGTGGCAGGTGATCATGCATGCAGAACCTGCACTACATGTTACTCTTTTAATATGGCTGTACTCCATTAACTGAACAAAATGGTCCAGGAAGGAAAATAGAAAGAAAGAAGAAGAGAAAAGGAATCCATTAAAGAGTAAGGCATATAATATTACACTCTAATTTTCTCAAGCAACTACCATGCAACATGGTGGGTAAAAAGAGAGTCCCTCGGGAGGAAGCACCGTATACCCAAACTGGTCAAACGGTAACCTTCTCAAAGATGAAAAAAGTGTTCATGTGGTCCTATGAGAAGGTGAAATATTATTGGTGTGCTTAGGGGTGGTCATAAAAAGAATAAATTAATTAATTGAATAGTACATAAATGTAACAATGTTTTCCTTAAATGTGTTCAAAATTAATGTGGAAGCTAAGAGAGATTTAAAATACAGTCCAACACTACTATAGATTATGATCATTAAAGGAGCATCATCATTATGATATATAGAGGAACGTGTTGTTTACTTAAGTGCTCAAATTCAACACAATAAATGCAATCACAAGAATAGCAATCATTTCATAACAACGATATATAGAAAAAAGGCAATACATGTACTATTAAACATTGGTGAGAGGCTGAGGTTAATTTGCAGGAGTCTCCCATCCAGTTGTACGATTGGGAAATTTGATCAACCTCATTTTTCACTGATTTAGGTCAAGCATGAAAAAAACAAGCTCATACTCACAGGCTTCCATTTATATCAGTAGAATCCATTGGACTTTTCAGCTTCTTCCCCCTGGTCCAACTTTCCTTGCTTGTTGCCATCCAGCTTTAACCCAAAGTGAATGTGAGGGAAATGTGCCCACTGCATACACATATAAAGATGAGGCAATCCCCACTCTTCAGAAAGAGAAATTTCATGGGGTGATACAAACATATATATAACAATACACCGTAGCTGTTTCTGCCATATATAGTCAAGACTCTTGCAGGAACTTGCAGGCAATAAAATTAACTTGAAAATTTTGAACATATTTTCACTTTATTACTCTTTAAACCTGTTAACATATCCATATTATTTTAGTAAATTACTTTTGAAAACCTTCAGATCCATTTTATTACTAGTTTTTTCTATATCTTTTCATGAAAGTAAATGAGTAACATTTTAAAAATGCTAAGCTGTTATGGATAAAGTGAGAGTTTATTCTAAGCAAACTAATATTTGTGATGCACACACTGTTCTTGTACAAATTAACATGCATATCAGACTCAAACAACACAGTCTAGCTTTTCAATTAACTTTGGCTGCATGTGGCGTCCAAATAATATGTGGTGAAAAGCATGCTATAGTACATAGGAAAAATAAGAGAGTCCAAAGGAGAATACTGTAGAACATAAGAGAATGCTTTAGTACATATGAGAGTGATGGAATCACATGTACACGGACTAGACAAGTGACACTGGTGTTACAGCATTTGATTGGAAATTATGGTCTAATGCCATAATAAAACGAGGACAGTATATGCATGTAAATATTAACTAGAAACACACTCCCAATATTTCCATGTTTAGGGTTAAGAAAGTGATCATAAAATTCCCCATGGCCAATCAAACTTCACCTCTTATTATACTTTTGTCTAGTTGTAATGGTTTTATTGATAGTGAACATAGTTACCCAGTCAAACGTCTCAAACACACTCCCTACACAAAAATGTCACTTCACATTCCTAATCTAACACATCAACTTTTTGAAATTTTCTCTTTACAGGGTTGGCTCATATCATATTGTATGTGACCAATCTATATATGTTAATGTTGGAAACGGATAAAAATAGTGAAGAACAAGTAATGTTAATTATTGTTAAATCAAATATCATTACGGATGGGAGACTTTCGAATTCGGATGTAAGAGTTATTAATGTCTCTAAAGAGATCCCTGATGACAATCTTAATGTCATATAGTAAATACAAACACCAGTTCTTCTTGCCAACTTTCAGAGCAGCTTGATTTTCAAAAGCATTATATGTATATGTATGTATATATATATATATATATATATATATACACACACACACACACACACACACACATACCCCAAAATACTAGTTTGTGCTATTTACTGAGTTTCACCAATAAAAAGTATACGCAATCAAAACCATAAGTTGCACAATGCTATGTTTTATTTTGGCATCTGATCTTCTATATATACCCGAACCATATATTGCATAATTTTCCAACTAAACATTCATGTTTTTGTTTTTTTGTTTTTCTTTATGCACGTATACATAAAATAGAACGTCCCAGGGATCTAAACCAGTTAAATGATGTGATTTCCCCTTATACCCTCAAAAGATGATTACACTGGTAACTTTTTTACAATAATCGTAGGAATATTGGATTGGGACCTTGAGCAAGAAGTTTATAGAAGAGACAAGGCTGCGTCCGTAAACTGACACAAGTGGCTCCAAAAAACATGAAAAAGATAGAAAACTACAGCATGCACTTGCGTGGATCACACAATGATATGTGTATATTGATTAAATGTAGTAATTAAGGTTAAACTCACGTTTTTGGCTGCGGAGCTGAAAGCCTCCCTGTGGCTGATATCTGGATTACTAGCCTTAATCCTTTGGATTTCCTCCCTGCAAAATTAGACACTTGAAAAGACTTGCCATTTGTTTTTACTCAATGGAATAATCTCTACTCTATTTTCATGTTTCTTTTCAAATGAAATCACCTATATACATGACTGGATATTCTAATATTTTTTTAATACCCCAAAAACATTATTTTAGAATTAAGAGATTATATTTACTGGACTAATTTTTATCATCTTTATTCTTTGAAGAGATTTTTTTAATCCAGTAAAGTACTTTTCATTTATACTTTTGAGATCCTTAAAAATAAGTTGTTTTTTTTTTTTTTTTTTTTTTTTTTTTTAAATGTCGCTTGAGATTAGTGTTAATAATGCGTGCTTCTTTCTTGGGTAAATTACAGTTATCTATAATACTGTTATTTTATATATAGTAAGTTTTAGAATAAATCATGTAATTACCATATTAATATGTTATTAATCAATACCAAATTATCAAGTATAATAGATTTGTTGATTTTTAAATTTGAAACTATATACATCTCACTTTATGTTTATGTGCGAACCATATGTATTCTTATGAAAAAGTGAAAGGAAAAATACATTTATAATCAAATCTGTATATTAGTGACTCTAATAATAATGTGTTAAAAATTTTAATCCTTAAACAAATCCTACGTAATACCAAAGAAAATAGGATGAAGCAAGGAAACTGATATTTGAGTTTAAAATAATAAAATCCAAAGACTACTTACTTAATGAATCGATTATAAGCAGAAGGCACACGATGTCTCTTCTCTGTAGCTGTTGAATAATCATGAGATAATTTAATTTGGAGTATTGAATAAATTATGTAAGAGCAAAATTAATATAATCAGTCATCAATTAAAATTTGCAGTATATCTGTAACCTAAAAATTCACGTCACACAAAACAGAAATCAGGTTTAGATATGAAATTTTTCACGAGAAAGGCCACATTCTATGAGTCTAAAGCTGTAGAACTGGGTTGTTGAGACCATACAATTATATATATGCTTAAGCATTCAAATAGCATTGAAACTTCCCTTGTTTGTCCAAGAGTCCATTGGGTTTTCTTTGTTATTTCTGAAACAATTTTGTCGTCATTGCTTTGTACAGGTCACTCACAGCGAGAAAATCGACCACTAAATATAACTGAAGTACTACTACCACTAGTCTACTACTTACTACCTTTGTAAGTTTCAATATAATTACCATGATGAGCTGTTATATATAATGGTGAGGGGAATCTGTAACTGTAAAATGAATTTACACGTGGATAATTGCAGATATAATTTGCACAGTCCTTGTTCTTGTTCTAGGGCATAGCATGACAGCAATGAATTAAGGATGGGTCAATTTTTGTTACGTAAGGTCACCATCTTAGAGGGGGCCATTAAAATTGATGGAGAAAACAAGATGCCCCAATTGGGCACATAAAAACTGGTTACTCAGATGGACGCCGACTCTCTGGAAAAAATGGAAAAGCTCGTTTTTATGACAAGTGGCCCTAAATGATGAGGTTGTTCTGCTCTGCTATTACTTGTATTAAATTACCTTCTGCTGCAAGTTGTGGAGTAAGTAGTTTGAGTCTTTTTCATCCTTAATTAAAACTTGTCAATGATATCAAAAAGTTCCTTATCAGGTTAGCTGGTCTAGTTATATATGTTGCCTATTTGCTCATTCAGATTTAGGCTCATTAGTATACGGTCCAAATACAAAAAGGAGAGAAATTAATCGATGAAATGTGAGAATGTATACTCACGACGAATAGGAGGAATCCTTGGTTGTTCATGCTCTACTGCCTCAAATGGCGCTACTTTGTTACATTTTGAAGATGAGGATCCCAGCTCCTTGCTGCTTGGTTCTTCAAAGCTTAGGTGCTGCTTCTGTGACTTAATTAGCAACAGATTAAACAAAATAATTAATAAAAGACCACACAATTATTCATTGCAAGAACTTTTTCTTCTTTTTAAAAAAAAAAAGTATAAATAGATTATATTATATCATCTATAGTTTACCCATGGCGGCAGAAAGAGGGAATTGACCAAAAGAGTGTGAAATATATATATACACCTGAGGGTCTTGAGGAGGAAATGGTTGAAGTGACGCTCCCATGTTAACTGACAGCAAATTAGCACAATGTCCACATCTAACCGTCACTATGGTTAGCATACTGCTGTATGGAACACTAACCTGCCAATACCCACTTTCAAATACATAATAAATATTATCATCATCTACAAATATAAACACAAGAAGGTAGAAAAGTGAGTAGAAGAACATCCTCTTCACTTGTATACATACAGTAAAACATGCATTCATCCATGAAAACCATGAACTGAAAGATGAAAAATTTTGATCACCAACTAGAGCTGATATATGTATATATATATATAATACATATTCAAAAAAGGTTAACATATATACATATACATATAGGATAAGTGAAGCTTTCACATTCCCAAGAAAGGTGCTTCCAAAGCACACCATGCAGCATTGCAATGAAAAATGAACAGAGAAAAAGACAAAATGCATAGCTGCCAGAAGAAAGAAGTTATAAGAAGATGATAAATAAGCTAGAGAGGGAAGTGAATGCAGCAATCTTTTCTCATTCATTCTGAGAGAGGTATACTTTTAAGGGGTGTGGCCAGTGTCCAGCTAGAGAGAGTGTAGTATGGTGTGGCACATTCAATACATCCATATAATAGCAGCGACGCTCAGAACCTGACATGGGGCGATTTAAAATTCAGTACTCTCAGTCTCTCACAATGTCCCCTTGTTGTGGGTGCGCATCACTTTTGCTGACACTACTAGGCAAGATGATAAAAGATAGAAATTGTTGCTCGTAGCGTGGAAGAAAGAGAGAGGGTGAAAACGACTTGACTGGAACGGAAACCATCAAGGCCTTGAAGAACCACACCACCGTTAATCACTAGTGCTTGCCACCAGAGGAGAGTGGATGTATCATCATTAAGCCGATTAGCTCTTTAGGCCATGTTAAGATCTCATTTGAGAAGGAGAGAAAGAAAGAGAGTGCTTTCTGAAAAGGGGTAATTATAATTTCAACAGCCATGCTATGATGAAAGGAGGGACACAAAAGAAAATAACAAGAAATATTTAAGAAAAGGAGAGAGAGCATATGATATGATGTGATATAGCTTGTTGTGGTGGTGAAACGAATTGATCAGAATCCCCACAAGTTCTTGTAGAAAGAAAGAGAGGACACTGTCTCTGTACTTCAGGGAAGCAACAAGGCTGAATTCGTGAAAAAACTTGATGATATATACGATATCATAAAAGACGATATGATGCTTCACCCTCATCGCCACAGAAAGGCAATTAAGAGATCAAATCAAAGACTGAGGAGAGAGAAACTGCACTGCGTACAGGCACATGGATTTGTTGTGTTCAGATTTAATTTTCTGAGCTGTGTTAATTTAGCACACAAGTACACAAAGCAACCAAGACAAAAAAAAAGAAAAAAAAAAGAACCTCATAGCAAATGAAATCATATATGCAGACATGTTGCTATATATCTTCTGTAATTTTTAATTTTTATTTTATTTTAAAGTTAAACAAAAGAGGGGAACCCTAATGCTTGGGAATAACCCTAGTGTAGATCTCATGGCTGTGCCTGTGTATGCATTTTATTAATAAGCATCGCAAAATTTCTTCCTCTTCTGACCATAAAATTCTTTATATTTCTCACAAGGGTTGTTAGGTACCAGTAGCGGTTTCAATTATTTAATTTCATAATTTTCTGCTTCTACTTTGACTGCACACATATATATATGTATATATCTTGCCTCTAACCAAACTAGCACCACTCATATCATGGTAGAGGTTAGGGAGCAAAACCCAGTTACACTTTCTCATAAAATATAACATAGATGGCGGCGGAATCCTTGGTAGAAAAAGACCACCCAGTTACCAAATTACTTCACTTAAGTGATAGAATCCAGTGTTTCCAAGGGAATGAAGTTACCCTTATGTATAAATTGGGGTATTTCTATTGCATGTTTTCCAACAGTTAAGTTTTCATCCACTTATGTATAATATATATATGTATATATACACACACATGCAGTCTGATGAGGTCTGAACTGAATTTCGCTTTTTGATGGGTACCCAGAAGCGCTTTTTCTTTATTCTTGGCTCTTGTATCATCTCAAGATCTCGATCGATTAAAGAAATTAGAGAAACCCGAATTGCCAAATTAGCTGGTGAAGGGCGTGGCGCAACAGAAAGCTTAGAAGAGTATGAAAAAAAAAATAAACAAATGGAAGAAAGAAAGGAGAGAGAAAGAGTTTTGTACCGCTAGAATGGTGTTGCAGAAGTTGCAGTGAACATAACAAACACGTTCCGTTGCCATCATTTCCATTGACATTTTTTTTTTTATCTATATGTGACTGTGTCCTTTGAGTGTGTGCTTGGTGGATTTATAGGCAGATCACGGGGGAGAGAATCACTTGGCTGAAAGAAAAGTGAACATGATCATCAACGATTTACAGAAGACGCTGAAGGAAGAGAAAAACAATAAATATAGAGAAAAAAAAATATAGAATTTATTTTTTTAGTTATTGTTGTGTTACTTGGGAAGACATAGAGATAGAGAGAGAGAGAGAGAGAGAGAGTGCGTACATAGGTTAAGATGGGACTAGTGTGGTGGGGTTAGTGGTATTTGTTTTTGGAAGAAAAGATGGATTATGGGAAATCTTGGTTGGATTGGGTCGGGAGTGTGCGCGTGTGAGCAACACGTGCGAAGAGAGAGTGGGTGTGAAGATGTGTTTATGATTGAGAGAATGAGTGGGTGGGAGTGACCCATCTCTAACCATACTGGCTTTCTGTAGCGGACGAGGGGGGGGAGATATTAATGCTTAGAAATTTGGAATCCATGAATGAATGTTTAGGGATGTGTTCCATCCCAATAAACTATTCGTGATTTCTAAACCTAAAAAAAACATTTAAAAAACAAACATTTGTTCATCTATAAAGTAATTAGTGTCTTGTAATTAGTTGCAAGCTAGTATAAGAGATTGAGGTTGTTATGTTGAAGGGTATATGAGAAAGTGTGTATCTATCTATAAATGGAATGAATGTGTATGCATGTCTGGAAGTGAATAAATAAATAACAGGGTTTTCATTTCACAGTGTAAAAATAAATAAATTACCTTTTAAATAGATAATGAATTGTTTGTTTCAATGTAAACTGTTGAATCAAACAAAGACTGTAAAAAGAAATTTTATAGAAAGCTGGTTGAACAGGTACATTTATTGTGCAAAAGGATTAAGACAAGGACTAAGGCACAAAATGAATTAAGACAAGGAATTAAGTGCAGTTTGGACAGTTCCAAAATCTAAAAAAACATTCCCATGTATGAGGATTAAGAAGTTGTGAATGTTAATGCATGATAATTAATTAGATGATATATAAGTCAACAAAAGGTTTAATCGTGACGTGGAAAAGACTATGGAAATAGGAAGTGCTTGAAAATAACTTTTGTCCATATTTGTTTCAGCTTATCTATGGCGGTGTACTGCGTGTGTAAAGTGATTAGACATGTTCTTGTACACATTCATGTCATGTATTTCCCCGTGAAACTCTCTACGTGGAATCTATCATTATAATTATAATTTTTTATTCAATTAATTCACAAAATTAAACCCTAATTATATTCAGATCTAACATCAACACGTGCATTTGTCACAAATATAGGGTGACATGATTCAGAGTAATCATGTCGTTAAAATATTGATAAGAAGTTTGATTTATTATTTAACAAATCAGGTTAGCTGGTATTTTGTTGATGTGATAATGAAAAATGTAATATGAAACGAAATGAAACATTCAATAACTCTGAAGAGAGAATACTTTAGATTCACACTACAGAGACTAAACTTTCCTTTTTGAGAAAATATGAGTGAGGAACAAAATTGGAGCAACATGCAGAGAAAAAGAAGATCCTGGAAAGTTTAAATGAAAATTAAGCACGGGAAAGAAAACATGTGTTGAAAAAATGCAGTAGTGTGGTGGTGGGTGTGTGAGAAGAGTTAGCAGTGGACAGAAACGTAGGTTGGAAGAATTTTGGGGTTTTTCTAAATTTAGTTATAACTTGTAGCGACTTAAAAGTTGATGCCTGCGTTGTGTGTGCAAGACACGCTGCATGTCCATCACCACCCTCCTCACCTTTCTACAACTTCATATTCTTTCACATTGTCTTTCCTTCAACATCCTTCAACACAAATTATTACCAAATTATGCGTGCCAGCTGCTCGATAAAATGACATCCTCTAGACACCAAGTTTTTGCATGATTGATTCATTCCAGCATACAAGCTCTTATTTATACTTTGTCTTGGATAATTTAAGAGCCAACACCATTAAGATATTTACCATTATTAATGAATACAAGTTCAATCATACCATATTATTTTTTACTTACTTTTAAAAAAATTCATAAAGAATTAGAACTAGATTCAATAAAACAAAATAAAAATAGTTTGTTTTTATCTAAGAATAATAATATATTGTTCTTATATTTGTTATGATAATATTGTTATATTCAACTTTTATGTTTGAAATATTATCCACTTTAAAACTCTTATTTATTATAGTTTTATTGTTAAAAGATATTTTATAAAACAAAAGAAAAAGTGCTTATAAACTACGTAGACTTTAAATTTTTAAGTAGGACTCAACAATAGAACATAATTCTCTAATTAAAAATTAAAAAATATAAGTCCAGCGAGATTTTATTCTAAATCTTATTATATATTATAATATTTCATTTAGGAACAATCATATTTAAGTTTCATCATGAACATATCCGGTATCAGAATATAATTAACATACTGAACATAATTAATATAATATAAGTTCAATGAATATTATATGCTTTTTGAATTTGGTTTTAAAATTAAATTTTGAAATAACATATAATTATTATAAAATATAGGTCAACATACGGTAAGAAATAATTATTCCATTACAAAATTGCGAACGGACAACATGCGTCACAATATCAAATAACGATAAAAAATTAAAATCAATTATAACTTAGTGTGTTTATGAAAGAAAAATGGACCCCTTTTTTATACTACCTGGTTAAATGGTTGCCGGTAACACATATTTATTATTAAAATTGAAATATTTATTACCAAAATTGACATTCAAAATAGTTGACATTTGACAATTCATTTGCCAAAGCGGATTATAGTTAAAAATTTGGGAGATTTTTTTTCCTTTTTTTATGAGTGCATGTCTAAATCTAGTGTTATTTAAGACCATGTGTTAAATCTCCTTAAAGTTAATATTCTAATATCAATTTTTCATATATTAATTTTGTCTGTAACAAATTTTAATATGAAATTTATAACTCAAATAAATTTCAAACATATGTCGAAGCCATGTATTAATAGTGAGTATTATAAATGTCTCTTAATTTTAATTAACAAAAAATAACAGAAAAAGTGAGAATTCCTACCTGAAATTATTTAATATAATTGTGACCTAAAATAACAGAACTTGGAATTTTTGTGAAGATTTGTAGCGTGTAATTGACACTTTGTTGGATCAAATTAAGAGATGTCCATCACCTTCATATTATGTAGTTTGATTTATTGAAAAGAAATGATATTATAAAATATGGTTTAGGAAAAGGAATAAAGGGAAGACAACATGCACTTGTCGAAACTACAAATGTGAAGAAGCACAACGTAGGGTTACGTATCGTACTAGCTACCACTAGCAACCCACCAATAATTTCCCCCTAAATAATTGAGATACACTACCAAAATATATATAATTGTTAAGCGCATCATCACTCAAGGAAAAATATTTTAATAATTAATTATAATTTCATATATATATCATTTTTTTATATATTCTTAAGAATTAAATTTAATTTTAAAAATAATAAAAATTTGAAAAAACAAAAGTTGCATAAGTTTTGGAAAATAACTTCCCACATCTTTATAGAAAGTTGTCATTCTCTTTTCAGAATAAAAAGAACGATTATATGAAATTTTGAGTTACCATGAAAGACGATCTTGCTTTGGAATATGTTGGCTTTACATGTCGTTATTTGTTCACATGGGAGATACTTGCAGAATATGCTTTGGTACATATATAAGTGATATGTTAAAATATTAAAATTTCATATAAATTAACTTATATTTGTGTTATTATTGACTTATATTTATACTTTGGATTTCCGTATGACCAACAATATTAACTTAATTTATGCTTAGGAAGTAATAATCTAACCTCGCTCTTTATAATAGTATTCTTAGAATAATTAACCCTAAATTAACATCCTTTTACTATTGATTGTATAAATGACATAATTCATAATATACTAGGCACATGGTGGATTTTTTTATATTTATTTTTTATGTAAAATTGAGTGAATTTTACAACATATATTCGTATTCACACAACTTAAATTTATATGATTAACTTGGAATTATAGATAAATTTTATTAAAGTTTATGTTAGTTGCTCTCATATTTTTAAATAATGAAATAGCTAAACAAATAGGTTAGCTAATCATAATCTTACTCATATATATAATTTTGTTCAATGAGAAAACAATATTGACTTTATTAATAATTATGTTTCTTTTAAGAAATAAACTGAATTTTCTAAATTTTTTATTTTTCTTCATTTGTTTTTTTGTTTTTATCTTGTATTTATTATTCTCTATTTTTACTATTTTCTCTATATGTTTTATAGGTTTTTAATAAAAAAAATATTTTTTAATTTTTTATTTTTTCTCTAGAATAGTTAACAATAATATAATTTTAACCCATTTTAATCAAACAACATAGACCTACTTCAACATAATTAGAAAGTGTCAATGATTATTTTTATTTTGTTTTCGTTATGTATAATAATTATATAAATGGATAGTTTATTATTATTATTATTATTATGATATTTTTTTAAAATTTATTATAATTATTATTATATTTTATTTAAATTTTCTTAATTTGTATTATTAAATATAATTATTAGTAAATGAAAATTATATAAAAGACAAAACAAGTCAATGAATTAATAAAATAATTATAATTAAGAAAGAATAATTAATATTCTTATCCTATATTTAAAGTCACATGTTAGTCAAACCCTTATTTTATTAAATTATTTTTCACACATATCTTATGTGTGATTATTACCGGTCTCTACCTGTACAGGAATAGAAATATAACTTTCCTAAAAATAAAAGATATAAAATATTCTTTAATAACATTTAAATATTCTCTTTTTATATTCATATAGGAATATAAAAAATTATTTTATTTTCCGAGTTACATTCTGATTCTATCTAACTCCAGTATAGCTTCCACATTAAATATTTTAAAATTCAAAAGCATTCCAAGTAAT